GAATAATCCCACTTTGACTGCTAGATACGCTTGTCCGTTGTGAAGCCTAGAACTCCCTAAGTACGAATACAGCCGAACGTCGCATATCTACAAAGCGCCTAGAGCCAGACATAAATTTATTAAGTTGGCTGATATCTTCTCCAACCAATACGCCAGACTCATAGAGAATATGGAAACCGAGATGCTGGTTGTTTCCACCTCATCTTCCTCCCTGAAACTTTGCATTTTCCAAAATCTTACCACGTCTTACCACGTGAGTGCAAATGGGGCCATGACCAGTTAGAATATATCCATTTGAACCTTGCTAAAAGCTAGTAGTTTCATGGACCTTTGGGTTCCACGCTGAGCCAGAAGGCTTTCGCAACCCCACAAGTGCGGGCAGCTGACCAACGCCTATAGAGCTCACGCAAGGCTCATAAATTCAAAGCGCGATTGTTGCCCGGGTTTTTCCTGAGCTCGATTTTTCTAAAACCAATCTCCTTCTTCTTTTCCAATTCAAATGAAATCTTACAACACTCCCTTCTTGCAACAGACAGATTTATTTACTTTGTCCGACTAACGTACGACTGTACAAACATAAAAGCGGCGAAGTTAATTTTCAACAGCAATTTCTTCGAGTGCAGCGCGACATCAACTCAACGACAACTGGCTATGTCAGAACGACCAAAAGAGATATGATAACGACATGGTGGCAGCAATAGTCAACGCAAAGCGCGCCAATGGAAAGGCTGCACTCGTGCTGCTTCAGAGCAAGTCGTAATGGAAGATGTGTGGTGTGCCATCAGAGTCATTTCGCGCAATCGAAAATAGGTTGATAGCTATTGGGCACGCACCAGCGCCACACTGCCCCTACACCGTTGGCTTACCGGTCCAAGTTKCCCGCACTATACTCCACTACCGTTACTGTTGTTTTTGCACTTGTGCGAAAGCCTGTCTCCTTTCAATTGATAATGGTGCTTTATGGAAATGCCAAAGACAGCTGGACGAAGTGTGTACCGGCATGTTGTTGCTTTTTTCTGTTGTTATTAAATTGTCAAGCCAAGTGAAATGTGGCGCGTTTCATTATCGCAAGCACCATTTAAATTGGTAGCACTTAGGCAGGTGTATGTGCGCGCTCGGTGGTGGACTCATTGACGATTGGCGCTGAGGAGTGAGCCACTTGTTGGTTGGCGGTTAGTTGATGATGAAGCTGTTCCATTATCGGTGGGTAGCTAAATGTTGAGATTTTATGATTTTCTTGGAGAGTCGCGGCGTGGAGAAGAGCCTCACTTCAGTTTTGTCCGTTTGATTGTGCTTATTTTTTAATATACATAGATAATTTTWAATGGGTAATCGTAAATGCTTGTCAATTGGTTAATGGTATACTCTTATTTGAGTTTTGATTTCATTCTGGTTATTGAACAAATTTTCACATTTTTTAGTCTCCGACTTCATATGTATCACGGAACTTCATAGATTGSKTATTTTTAGAAAAGCTGAATATAAYTACYTTYTTTTAGGTTCGAAATAATTCCCTTTATTTTTTCATAAGAAACATACTGAGTATGATTTTTGGTTTGATAAATTTTTTGACTCTTTTATGATAATTCAATAAATTAAAAAAGCGGTTGAAAACTTTCAAAAACTCTGTGAAGAGCTTTCAAAGCTTCAGGGATTGAATATGATGTGACCAACCTCTCCATCCTTAGCATGTAAATTGAAAGCTTCGATTCTGTTAAGCTCGAAAGCTTTTAGCATAGTGATATTCTGAATTGGGGGTAGGCAGTACTTTATAAGCGATATTCTGTGTTGAAATGTGTATTAATCCAGTTGAAAGCTTTTTTAAGCGCGAAAGCTTTTAGCATAGTGATATTCTTAATTGGGTGTAGGTAGTACTTCATAAGCGATATTCTTTTTGAATTGTATATTATTCCAGCTGAAAGCTTTTTTAGGCGCGAAAGCTTTTAGTATAGTGATATTCTGCATTGTGTGAGGCAGTACTTCATAAGTGATATTCTGTGTTGAAATGTTTAATATTGCAGTTGAAAGCTTCTTGAAAGCTCCAGTAGGTTTAAGCAAGCTTGAAAGCTTTTACAACTTACTTTTTAATTATCAGAAATTTTTATAWTAATATCACCTATATTAAGATTGAACTAATCTAGGTTAGCTTAATGAGCACTGAGAGAAAATTGAACTTTATCGTAAAGCTTTCACTAAAAACCACTAATATATGTATAGTATATCTGCATTTATTAGTAAGTAAGTAAAGTAATAATTATTATACTATAAATTAAAATTACATGCAATTTTCTTTAGTCAAAGGCTTAGTGCGCTATAATTAATTTAAGTGTGCGTTAATTAAGGCTTAAATTTCAAATGAACAAGACAAACGTATATAACATACATGTGTTTGTCCAATTATATATTCAATTTATATTGTATTTCGTTGTATATTTAATTTTAGAACTAGATACGTATTTGTATATTATAAACCTATTCACATATATCGCAACTTAACCGCTATTAACTATTTATAAAACGATTCTCTCCWCAATACATAAGCTTCATACATAACAAAGTGTAACATTTTATATATGTACATATATGTTTATATTTATATGTATGTAGATTATGTGTTTTCAAATATTTAATCTTACACAGTTTAAAGACCTAATGTACGCAAATAAATACAGCAAATTAATATCAAACACATTAAATCATTAAATTTTCCTTCGCTCATGACGCGTTCGTTAGAGAAGTTATTTAAGTTTCGCGAACAGAGAGTGTCAAGCAAACTAATTTGAAGAATAAACTGCATTTTTTCGACCTTTAATACAGTCATAATCTGATTGGAATTAGAAGATCCTTAGCTAATAATTAACAGCTCAATTAAAAAGTCCTCCTCACGAATATTTCGGTATGAAAAAGCTCTGTGCAAAGTGGATGCCGCGCGAGCTCACTTTTGACCAAAACGACGACGAGTTGATGGTTTGGAACAGTGTTTGGAGATGGTCAAGCGTAATAGATCTAAGTTCTTTCATCGATAGATAACAAAGTCAGTGAAAACGATGCAAAAATCCCTAAAATGGGCTACCTATCCGCCGTATTCGCCAAATCTGTCCCCAATAGAATATTTCCTGTGCTCAGATCTGAAAARAMTGCTTGCTGGAAAGAMATTTTAGTMGMATGATTAGGCTTATTTTCAAGCAAAAAACATATCGTACTTCATTAATTGTTACGAAAAGGGTATTAGAGGGTCGTTAGAATCATTGTATTATCTTTGAAGGGTGTTGAGTTGAATAAAWGACATTGTATCTTACTATGATAGGCTGGTGAATTTTCAATTGACCTGAACCAAGTTCTTAGAAGCAAYCCACAATAGAATCGAGAGCTCCCTCTGCTTACCCACTGCTGATCGAGAATTTTCAAACAATTTTTTTCAATTATTTCATTTTTTCATACACATAATACGCTAAGGCAATGAACAACTCAGCCAAAAGTGCATTCACATGGGTATATCACAGGTTTCAAGCGCTTTATTACCATCGATATATAGGTGGGGATGTCAAAAAGCCTGAAGCATGCATAATAAAAATTGTAAGCCACTAATCTTACAAAAAACTGATAAAAATCATCTCCTTATAAGAAAAAATCTTCAACTATAAGATTGCCAGGGGATTAGCAATAGGAAATATTCGCAGTAAGTCTGCCATGGCACTTTCTTGTAGTAAAAGCAAATTCATGCTTTGGAGTAACCAAACCTAACCAAACGTTTCTTATATAAAATTTTTAGTTTGCGTTTGCCAGCAAATACCTCCTCTGCTCCTCGGCCTAAAGCTCTTCATATCATTTGATAATGTCTTTCAAAATCCTTAGTAGAGTTAAAATCACAGTTGTATAGAAAATTTATTTATTTGTATGATAACTGTATTTGATGAAATGTTGATGATGATCTATTTGCTATGCGCCAGTTTTSATCGCTTTGCTGCTCGCTCCACTGTGTGCTTAGCTTAAAGCTACCTGCTCATTAACTTTCAATGAATGCAGTGAACTTGCTTGATTTGTCTCAAAAATGYTTAATCAGTCAGCGTTTACTATTTTTTTACTTCCTCTTAGAGACTCATAAAATTCTAATTTCAATTTACTTCCGAATACGCGCCAAACGCACTAATTGATACAACATAACTTCCTGTTGTATTTTTTACAACTGTACATGCCAGGTGGAATTTACAGCTAAAAAAAACTGGAACTAGTTTAGAAAAAGTTGTACTACAACAATAAGAAACAACAAAAGAAAACAGATGTTATGTTGTTCTAATTACTTAGCATGTGTTGGAAAGTAATGGAATGAGGGAAGCAAACGAAAAAGCTGTGAAAAGTAGCACATRTGGAGACAAGTTGTCGGTTCCAGCTACGAATAATAACTCAAAAAACTACAAATAAACAACTTTTGCCACAAAATTGTTTGAAATAAAATAAAATACGTTAAGAATCTGGGTAGAAAACGTGACCTCAACGCAGCGCCTCGCATTACGTCGCGCGCTTTTTATGTTTTATATGCGCTTTTAATTAAATAATTAACTACAACAATGCAAACAAACACACACACGCAAGTATGTTTGTCACTCAAACAACAACTTAACGTTTTACTTGTAAATTTTTCACTCACTTTCCAATAAAAACAAAGTTTTCTACGCACACTCAATCAGTTGCAAACTGCAATCCGACGTGTGAACAGCATATAATCCATTTTTTCGCGTAACACAGCAGAAACGAGAGTGACAATCAATAAAAAAAAATTCAATAGAAAAAAAATTTTTATAAAAAAAAACTATTATTCCTTATAAAAATATCGTTCTTTTCGATTTTTTTTTAATTTTTAAAAACATTTTTTTATTTATTTTTCAATTTTTTTTAAATCTTTAAAAAAAATTTTTTTCGAAAGTTTTTATTTCAAAATTTTCTATTTCGAAATTTTTTATTTAAAAAATTGGTTTTTCAAAATTTCTTAAATCTTTTCTCGAATTTTTGTTTTAATTTTTTTTTTCGATATTTTTTTTTTGAAAATTTTAATTTTTCCACCAAAAATGCACTCAATAAGCATTTTGTGCACTGTCTTCGCATTATGCGCCTTGCTGTTGCCAGCTTTCGGCAGCAGCAGTGTGGTGAGCAACTGTCCTGCTGGTGCAACATGCCCGATAAGTGGCAGCAGCACTGCAACAAGCATCACCAGCACTACAACAGGCAAAACCACCGAAAACAACAACAACGAACACAATTTCTTGAAAGAGAAACGTAAGTTTCGCGATTTTTGCAAAAACAAAAAAAAGTTTAACAAGTTTTTGTTGTTGTTTTGGAAATAACTGTGTCTTGTATTTCTGCCATTCACAGCAAAAGATCTGCAAACCTGCCAGCGTAAGTCAGCTGATTTTGATAAATGCATCGTAAATGCCTATCAAAATATATTCAGCACTTGGAAGCAAGGTAAGAGRAGGAGAGGCAGAGTGGTGAAAACTGGAAACACTTAATTTTTGTTTTCTGTAACACAAATTTAAAAATTAAAAAAATTAAATTCGTTTAGAAAATTTTCGGGATTTCGGGATTGTGAATTTCATATGCTAATCAAGTCCTAATTAAATTTTTTTTCAAGAGTAAAAAATGTATGTTAAGTACGCTTCGTACAATTATGGGATTTCGGGACTACAATATGCTGATCCCGAAATTTCGGGATTTTGTAATAGAATTGTATGGTTAATTTTTTATATTTCAAAGAAAAAATTCTATTTAAATTAATTTCGAAAAATTTCGAAAAATTTTGGGATTTCGGGATTTCAAATTATAAAGCCATATTTAATTYAGTCGGAATATTTCTGATATGCTAATGTATTGAATGTTTTAGAGCAAAAATTTTCGGGATTACTAATTACGATTTCTTTTTTTAATGTTATTTAATATTTATTTTGTTTTTGTATACTCGTACTCAATTTATTTAATAAAAAAAACTGTATATTACTTATACATATACATATATTTTTTTCAATTTCCACAGGTATCGATGGCGTACCGCATTCCACACCGATCGATCCGTTATTCGTACAAGAATTCGAAGTCATCGAAGATCGTGAAAACATTACACCGATCACAGTGAAGATTAACAATATAACAGTAACCGGTTTGAGTGAGGCGAAGGTCAAGAGTGTCAAGTAAGTGAGAGCATGTTATATTTGTTATATGTTTACATTGATTGCATAAACCCTATTTGCACTGTGTTTAAATAACTGAGTAGTATTCGATTATTCGTAATTAACAAGTAATTGGTATTCAATTATGGATGAATTCATATGATAATGATAATTGTGCGCATAAAATAAGTTATTTACGTAAACAGGTGCCAGCGTTTTTTGCCCTAAGGTTGTAGGATGATATAACTTACAGTCATATTTTATATATATAAACTGGGTATTACCGACTAATTGCCAATCTGTTTGCAAAATATTTTCCGCTTTCCAATTTTTTCGCACCAAAAGCTTCAAGGATAATGAGTACGATTTCAAAATGACCTACTTAGTACCGAAAGTGCGACTGAACGGTCACTACACCGCCAAAGGAAACGTGCTGCTGCTCAAAATCGACACGAGCGRTGAAATGTTCATGGAAATACGTAAGCGAATAATTAAAATTAAATTATAAAAATTAATACACAATTCCGCTAACCCCAAACGCACTTTTCCACTACAAAAAATAAAAATAAGAATAAAAATCGCCATATTTTGCACAATTCCACGCACATGCCTTGCAAATTCGCCACAAAACCCATTAAAATCTTTTATTTCTTGCCGCACCCTCTTTTACCACCACCACCACCCACCTAGTTGATGGCCTTTACACCGTTACGACCAAGGTCATGTTGAAGACTTTGGAAAATCATAAATTTTTCAATCTGAAGGCGCTACAATTTAATGTGGACTCCATAAAGGACTTGAATTTGCACTTCGACAACTTGTTCAAGGACAAAGTGTTGAACGACAATACGAATGCCGTGTTTAATGACAGCTGGCGTGTATTTTTCGACATATTCAAGCCGAAAATCGAAGCGGAAATCAATAAAGTACTATTGGCGCACTTCCGCAGCGTGTTTGCCCAGGTGCCGGCCGAGTTTTTCATCGCCGACGTTGCAACAGCGGAGGTGGCGTCTGCGGCGCATCATGACACGGCCCCCAGTACTGCACACAGTCGGAATATCAAAGATATTACGCATTTGGAATTGCAGCAGCCGCACGCCGCGCACGGCAGCGCAAAGACAGAGGAAAAGGAACACAAATTGCACTAAATTTAATGCCTGAGCGGTTAAATGGTGGAATGAAGTTTATGTAATTGTTTCGCTTTGATAATAATAATACAACAACATATATTTTTAAATAACTTACAATTTTTTAATTTTTGTAAATTTTTTAACTAAGTGGACAAAGCAGCTGGTTGCGCATGCGCCGCTGACACGTGGTTTCTTTGAAGCACAGGTACAGGGTGCAAAAACTGGTATAAAAATTGTTTTGCTGTCGAAATAAAAAAAATGTATATATTGTTGCATACTTTTGGGCGAACTTTTCACTTCTGAATCTTTTTACTAATGCAGGTGCTTCMAAACTTTTCGTTTTTCAACGTATTTTCAAATATTTAACATATTTTTAGGCGACACATAATAGTTGAATGTTAAAATGAAAATCTGGGAAGATAAAGAATCGGTACTAAAGTGCGTGATTAATTTTCTGCTATCCAGTGTTGCATTCTTAGCTAGGCTTCAAAAAAAAAAAAAACCAATGAGTATTGTTGATTTTACAGCAAAACCATTGAAGTTGAAGGCAAAAATACAAAGAAAAGCAGCCTACAAGCAACAACAGCGGCTGGTCAGTTGCCATTTTGGCTTCCACCTGATTTGTTTTGTTTTTCAGCGGTTTGTTTGTTTGCCTGTTTGCTTGCTGCCATGGTGGTATGTGGCATGTGGCATGTTGTTGACATGCCAGCGCTGTTGCAATAACAGCAGAGGCCGATCAAAGTGCATTGCCAGCACAATTACCAGAACTAACGGTATAACGCATTATCACACAGACACACACGCATTTTTTCTCATAGACACGCTGCTCTTCAGWTTCCCTGCTGCATCTTCAATGCCACATGCCACTTGTGCTTTGCTGCCACAATTTAGCATATCATAATAAAGCTCAGTCAGCCGTCCAGCTCATATGTGCAACCAAAAGTTGCACGCACCACACTCTGTGGCAACTCAAACTCCATTGTGGCTGCAACTTCAGCTCCATTTCTCTCCAACCTGCGTCACATCCTTTGTATAAAGCGGTGGTGTTTTAATATTGCTTGTCCCTTTGTGTGTTGTTGTTGTYGTTGTAGCATACTACCATCTCTCTATGCCGGCCACAACAAGAGCGCTAACAGCCACACTCGTAATTTAATTGAATGGACATAATGGCTGTTGGCCAGCAGCTGGCATTCAAGCGGCCAGACAATCATTCTGTTGCATTTTCACTCTCCTTTGTCTTCTGCCCATATCTCCTTATGGATGTGTTTGTGTGTGTGTGCTGTCGCTGTCGCTTTCKCTTCGTTTTGCGTGGCTTGCAAATGGACCTGAAGTGGTCCTTTTGGTTAATTGAAAACAATTAAGTGGAAAATTGAAAACATTTTGACAGTGAACGAGCGTACACMAGCTGATGCTTTTCTGCTTTTCCACACTTCGCGCTTTTGTGTCTGACACGTTGATTTTTTTCTGATTTTCTCGTTATATCTCCGCTCATAAACGTTTCTGTATGCATACCATATGTGGTCTGTAGCTTAATTTGCGAGAGACTTTTCTACATAGACTTTATAAACTAGCTAAACCTTTCTGTCATTGGAGTATTAAATAAAGAGAAATCGGATTACAGTATGCAATATATAAAGGGTGACCCAAGTATAGGTACTTTTTTCAATTGCCTTTTTTGACAGCATCTCAGGCTGATGTATGGAACGACTTGATGCATTTTACGTCGAGATCTGAAATTGAAAGCATACAAAATACAGCTTGTRGAAGAACTGAAGCCGCTCAATCTTCCCAAGCGACAGCGCTTCGCTCTATAGGCTCTTGAAAAGTTCCAAGAAGATCCGTTGTTGTCGAGCCAAATTTTGTTCAGCGATGAGAGCCAATTCTGGCTCAATGGATACTTAAGTAAGAAAACGGGATAAACAGAAACCTGAAGAGATTCAAGTGATGTCATTTYATTCAGAAAAACCAATAGTTTGGTGTGGTTTGTGGGCCGTTKGGATCATCGCTCCAWATATCTTCAAAAATGATGCTGTAATTGAAATGCGTGACTTTGGCGGTTTCGGTGAGCAGATAAATTCACGTTTTRGGCCGSCCGATTGGCCATAAAGATCGTGTGATATCACAGCGTTAGACGTTTCCCTGTATTGATATATAAAGTCTTAAGTCTTTGCGGACAATTTCGCTACGATTCAGGTCTTGAAGCATCATCGAGTGATAAAAAATTGCACTCAGCTTATGACCATCTGCGACGGACAACATTTGCAACAGATATTAAACCTTCGCCGATTACATTTTAAGCTTCTCTATTTTTTCTTTAAAAGAAGTCGGGACCCTCGAAATGGATCACCCTATACAAATATCCCATCAAATTTCTATATGAATTTATGAATACGTCGTCATTGTAACATCTTTAAAAGGCGATAATATCGGTTTAGAATGTGAATATTTCCCCGTCAACCCAACAGCTTAACTTTTTAAGAGCAGCCGTAACTGCTTCGGACTCTGGTTCATAGTTTCTGGTTTCTAAGGGTATCCGGAGCTGGGTATTTCGCAATGATTACTTCTTGACGACGACGATGAGAAACCGGTCAGGCTTATAGGCCTAAGCTAAAAAATCTGAAGATATTAAGCTAACTTTATCTTCCTTCTTCTCTTTCTCTCTAAGCTAGAGAATTGGATATTTTCTAATAGTATATAAAACATGATTTTTCATTTTTAATTAAGAATTCTGTTTTTCGCACAGAACTCACCAAGAATACCACATTGCGCAACCCACATAGAGCCCGCTTACMCTTGTGGCGCTCTCATTTACCTGCCTCATTTTGTTTTTTTTTTTTTTTTATTTTTTGTGCAGATTTTTTAATTAGTTGCCACTGCCACAACAAACGGACTGCGACTAATAGAAAGCTGCTAATGTGCGAATTGTGGCACAACAGCGTAATGGCGCGCTAAATGGCAGCTGTTGCAACAGAGCCCAACGCCACATGGKCCACACCGCTGTGCCAACCGATGGACAATTGTTAACTTTTAAAAGGTTAACAAACAAAAAGCACCGTTAGCGCACCGAGCCATTTCCCGTGCGTTCGACAGGCGACAGGCATATGTTGCAACAGTGCGCTTTCGATGTGCATGCAACCGCAGCACAAGCCACAAACATAGTTACAGTCGCAAACGGGAGTCCGCATAGTGGCAWCAGTGGCAACAGTGACAGCAGCAAACAGCCAATAAACAATATTTGTGCCGTTGCATGCTGGCGCTGCCACATTTGCACACGTGCAACACAACAAACAAACGCCAGTGGAGTGGCAAGCGGCACAACAGTAATAGAAAATGGTGGCTGGGGAGGAAGCAGGAAAAAAATGTAAATGCGTAAAAATATACATTTCCACAAACAGCAAATGTTGCTGCTGCCGCTGTTGCGGTTATTGAAAGCAATGTGGCAACTTGACAGCGCACTGGCCACGGCGCACCGAGGTGGCACCGCATTTGCAAAAATTAACGGAAAATTGCGCAAATTGTATGCGAACGCGCGAACTATGCCATTACGYCGGCATGCAGGCATGTGTGCGTGCGTGTTGCAAGTGGCAAGTGGCAAAATGTTAAATTGAAAACATTAAAAGATGCAAAAAATCTGTTTTTTTTTTTGCCGCACGCCATGCGGTACTTGCCAACAATGTGGCAGTTGCTTTTATGCATGTTGCATGCTTGAGCATGCATGTGGCAACAATAGTGGCAGCAATTTTATTGCACTTCAATTAATTTTCATTTTCATTCGCTTCTTTAGGGGCAATGCTCTGTCCACATTTGAGCGGCAAAATGGCCCGACCAGGCAGGTGATGTTGCAACATATACAAACATTATTATGAAATATTCTATTAAAATATATTTGATACGAAATTTGAGCAATTGATGTTGTGCTTTCGAAAGRGAAACTGTATGATCTCGATATCCCTGGATCCTGGACCCCAAAATCCTAGTATCATATTGTCTTCCTGTTAAGAGCTTATTATTTTTAGATCCGTCTCGAAACGCAAAACATAGCAGGGAGTTCTTCTAAACCAGATCAATTTAAAGAGTAAGAGATTATCCCGATGGAATTCCTCAAATAGAAGTAGGAGGAACTGATTTCGAGATCTCTGAATYCTTTGGGCCTAAACTCCATTGGCAAAGTGTGACGAGCTAAGCCRATTTTTCGAGATATGGTGTTGAAATTTTGCAGACATCCCTTTTTTTCTAAGTAGCTTGTAAGATATTGGTGTCGTCGATATGGATTCCCTACAGCATATAGCTGCTATACAAACTGACCGACCGAAATCAAGTCCTTGTGTAGCACACAATTTTTTATTTGCAGAGATATCTTCTCGAAATTTGGSATAGAAAATTATCCCAAGCTACACTAAATTTTTCGAATAAATTGTTCAGATCGAATCACTACAGCACATAGCTGTCATACAAACTTATCGGTCAAACTCAAGTCCTTGTATGGAAAWSTTTTCCATTTGACAAGATATCTTTACGAAATTTGACACAGAGTATTTTCCAAAACTATGCTACAAAATCCGAAGATTCCGTTCAGATCGGCGCTATATAGCATATAGCTGCCATACAAACTGACCCATCAAAATCAAAATAAATATCTTGTTTACAATCTTGTGTGCGAAAAAATGCCTCTGTGAAGAGTATAACAGTTTTGGATCAATCTGAGTTAGCGGTTTTTTCTTATGTGCACTCTTTTTAGAAAAAACAAAAAAAAAAAAATAACTCGCGCTGTCAAATGTGCTTTCCAAGCACTTCAGTGGAAATTTTCCACATATAAAAACATAATCATTACGTAAACATGCTTAATATCGGCTTTATGTTTGTACATGTGTATACTAGGCACGTAGCCTGTATTTATATGATTGAATAGCTTCGCTGCTTACACTTCACTGCATATCAAACGGAAATTTGCAATTCAAGTGTTTGGCAAACGCTGAACCGCGTGCTGACACGCTCACTCGAGCCGCTTGAACTCACACATGCACAAGCATACAAACGCCAATACACGACTGCACAGTGCCTACCAGCACAAAGTTGTGAAATCGACGTTTTGAGTGCGTAGCAAACGACAAAGAGTGTGTGTACCAAGAGTCGTACACGGCGTATACGCAACCCAAGCCGGCAAGCAAATGTTGGCATACGTTAAAAGCACGCGGAAAAAAGTCAGGGGCGTGTGGTCAGCTGGTGGAGGTAGAAAAGGCTGCTGCTGAATTGATGCCATTAACGGTTTATTAAGAGCATATACAAACAAGCGCGCACACACACACCCACATCGATAGTATTGCACATGTGTACGCAAATGAGCATGTAAATAATGTGTTGATGCGCTGTCCTTATTAGCTGCAACAACGCCGGCTGCTGCTGACCAACCATTTTGTAACGGTACAAAGCGCAGTCAAACAAAAAAGGGGCATGCARAAGTGTACTGCAAATATTTGCAACAACTAACGGCATTAAAGCAACAACACGAGCAACACRAAAACAACAAACATCGAAAAGCTACAACGAAACAGAAAAATAACAACAACAAAACAGAAAAGCAAGAACAACAACAAAAAAGAAAGACAACAACCAGCAGTGAAGCAACAACAACAGCAAAGTAACAACGTAAGCCGCAATAAGGACTGGGCTACGTTGGGCAACAACAAACTGCGACGCTGTTTGCAACATCGATTGTTCACTCACACTACTACAACAACAAATCCAGCAAAAACAGCCAGCGTGCACAAAACTCATTCAAATAGCTGTGCTTGGACGCATCTGTTTGGTTTTCGCAACTAACTGTAGCTATTGCCTCGTTGCTTTGATGCCCTTTTGCTGTAACTAACAATCAAACGCAAAAATAGGACGAGAGAGTGGGAAATTAGAGTTCTAATAAGTGTTGTCTGCAACACAAGCGCCCTTTGCCGTTGCAGGCACRTTTGATGCCGCGCGTGTGTGTGTGTGTGTGTGGCCGTGTGTGCTCGCCTGCTCATTGGAAAATGTTAATTTAACCATTTCACTAGCAAAGTAAAGCATATTGTTTAATTATGTTGATTATATTGCTGCAGACATTTGCGCTCCGCATCGACTYGTTGCGTATAAAGTTCTGTATAAATTAATTAAAATTGCAAACAGGCACTTGTTGCGACGCTAATGATGCCATTAACAGTATCGTTTCTTTTAAAATRATTTTCCTTTCATAGAGAATACTTATTTCAGGGATACATTTGCAGACCATTTACCTTGAGCTGATATTTGCATTTATAAGAAACACCATACCTTTACTCATAGTCTCTCTCTCTCTTTCTTTCTCTCACTATCTACATATCTATCGCTTTCTCTATCCGTATCTATCCSTATCTTGCTCTTTGTCAATTTTACTCTCTTTCTATCTCTGTTCTTCTCCTTACGCTATCTACCTCAGCTTCCTTATCTATCCCCGTCTTTCCCTATCTCTATCTTCCTMTTTTTCTCCCTTTTTATATTTATTTAGCATTAGGGGTGATATGATTTCTTTTTAAAGARCAACAAACTAATTGTTAAAGAAACTAAATTTATTTTTTATTTAATGTGAATTACAATCGATAATTTKCTTCTGAATATAACATCATTCAAATGGCCTCCTCTACTTCTTTTGCAGGCTTCAATTCGATGAACCCAATTTTCGAATAATTTTTCCTTATATCTAGTCGTATGTTATGAATAGCATGCTCAATATTGACTTCTAAGTCTTGAAGAGAGTTTATTGCTAAATACCTATAACTTCAAATAACCCCACAAGAAGCAGTATAACTGTGTTAAATCACAACTTTTTGGTGACCATTCAATGGCGGAATTTCTTGAAATAAAATGCATGTGCTATGCAGCACGAAGTTCCTTCTTGCTTCAACCAGATGTCAATATTAACTTCTTTGAATTGAGGTATCTCTCGTGCCTCGATGTGATWTGATGTGGAAATCACAACATGACTTAGGTGGAAGCTGGCTTCATATAAATGAAGGCATAGTGCCTGGTTTGTATTTAGGTGACTCTCACGACACGATGTGATATCATTTGAATCTAAACAATTTCCTCGAAGATTACATTCTTTCCTTAGATAATAACCCATGTCAAACAAGTTTGTTGACTATGCTAAATACAAACAATGGTTGTGGACTGGGCTAAAAGTAAATAAAAATGTCATTGACCTCACAAAATGTGAACAAAGAGGTCACTCATCTCAGAAAAATGTAAACAAGAAAGTCATTGATCTAGTAATGTAAAAAAGAGGTCATTGAGCACAGCTTCGCTGCGACAGAAGTGCCAACCRATGATTCCACTATACCAAAAACCACACCGAACAATCAATTTAGGTGAATGTTGTTCATGAATAATTTGTGGACTTCAGCAACAACGGCAACTAAATATTCTTATAATATATATATAAATCTATAATCCCTATTGGAAACACGGTACTTTCCGGTTACTTGTTAAGTACATATCATCACATGGATCAAGAGATCTTATCATTACTCCTTTATTACATACGATTCACTCCATCATATTACATATATGTGACCTGGTCTACGAAAAGGGAGCTAACGTGCGAAAACTAGTTTTCTGGGAAACAGCTGTTAAAAATCTCATCTTCCATCCGAATCAACTAAAAAGTGAAAATTGATTTTTTGAATTTTTTGACACCTAAGCCCCCTTTCCGTAGACCAGGTCACATATATGTATGTATGTATGTAAAATTAAAAAATTTCAGGTTTCCGCTTGCAAAAATAATATATTATATTATATGCATAACCATTTTATAACCAAATCAGAAACTTTGTTTCAATATGTGTGGTTTCTATATCGCTTTTCCTTCGCCTGAAAACTTATGAAAAGTGAAGTTACGTTGTTTTGCGTTTTAAGAGACGATATGTAAAATCGGGCCATTATATATGTATGTATGTATTTTTAGCTGCAGATAAATATCATATACCTTAAATTATTCTTAGCTGCGATTTCATAACAAATATGTGTTCTCATTTGTTTAGATTTGCTATTTGATACTCTTAAATTCCACCTTTTATGTTCCCAATACTATATATGCACATATTTATGTATATTTTCACAATTGCCTTACACACTTGTAGTTCTACTGTAATATTACATATAAATCGCAGTCCACACACTTTGAATTGTCTTAACAACTCCGCAATTTCGATCTCTTAACATTTCTTCCCAACACACATCCTAAATACGCGCTCTCACCAAAACTTTCAGCATCCTTCAATTAACATAAATTCATTTTCGCTTGCAAAGCTCGTCTGCTATGCGCTCTTACATTCAAGAGTGTTACACCTGCATATTAATGTTGAGCACCGCTCGCACACATCGCGCTCTTGATCAGCTAGCAGTGACGCTTGCAGATCAATGCTGCGCATACACACACTTATGCTCTCCTAAATAAGTACGCGACTAAGTTGTGTGCTCTGCAGAGGTATTAGCTGCGTACTCATCATTGAGAAATTGTAAAGAGTGACAATATGAATTTTTGCTGCAATGTTGTTGTGAATTGTTTAATGTTCGAACTTCTAAGTTGACCTTCAAAATGTTATGCATGCAATAATAGTTAACGAGTTGTGACAGATCTTCAGAAGAGTTCCGAATTTTCGAGATTTCATGGAATGCGAAATTAACGGGAAATCAATCAGCTGAATTATTCCAATTGAGGAATGCAATGTAACAGTAAAAATATTTAGTTACAAGTGATAAGGAGAGTGGACACACGTAATTCTTGGCTGATGTCGCAAATATTCGTCAAAATTGGTGAAAAGTATTTCTTAAATAGCGTTTTTTTTTAATTTAAAGTTGAAGTCGTTATTAAATGTTGAGAAATAGTGACGTGAAAGTCGTAGTGCGTTAAATTCCTTGAAATTGTGAATATATGGTGCAAATTCCTTGAGTGCGTGTTCGGGTTTATTCGTGGGTGTGTATATGAGAGTGTGTATGAATGTAACAAGTGCGTTTATATTTTATACGGTTCTCGGTTCGGTTACGTCGCGTGTGTCGGGTATTAAGTGTAATAGTGTTCTTATAAAAAAAAAGCGCGTCGTGTAATATGTAATACTTGTATGTAGCCAAGGAGTGAGTAAAAGGAGTGAGTTTGTAGCCAAATTACTTAAATATAATATAATTTATTTTTCTTCATAATATATTTCTGTCTCTGAATGTAAAAGTCGGGTATATATAAAATTTCTTTATGTCGGGTCATTCTGAAAAGCTTCGCTTAAGAGGCTATGGATCTAAAACCGGAGTTAAGCCAGCGATTTATAAGGCTAAGTTTCTTGGATATCATAATGATTTATTTGGCAGTTTATGAGATATCTGAAAGAAATTTAAATCTTTAGTGCTTCTTATACTTTTGCAACATGTTATAATAGTTTTGTTCATTAACGGTTGTATGTATCACCTAAAATTAAACGAGCTAGAAATAGGGGTTTATTTACAAAATGATCAGGACGACGGGACGATATCCGGGTGAATGTCGGTCTATCTAGTAAAAAATTTTCATGGAAACAGTTATAAGCGTTCCTTGGAAAAAGTAAGAACGAGTTCATAGATGAAGCCAGAAGATCGCTGTAGCTAGGGCCACCTGGGAAAGCAGTAACTAGTGTATAAAAAATGAAATTGAATCGGGTCAGTGCTTCCCTTAGGCTCCATATAGCTAATATACAGTTTTTCGAACTTCGTGTGACTTTATACGGCTTACATACTATATCAGGCAATATGTGAGTTATTTTAATAAAATTGAAAAAGCGTGTGAGGCACACAGTTTAACTTAATGAACCACCCTGAAATGTCTATCAGAAATGTCACACAGTTTATCTTCGCTATTTGCATTCACATTCATACACAACGCCCACGCATCACAGCTTTCATATGTCAACCGCAAAAATTCCAAGTTGAAAGCATTAATGCCTAATCGACGCTCTAAGTAATGTCAAAGCCAAGGCTTTTCACGGCGTTAGCGAAAAAAAAAATGAAAACCAAATGTTTAACGAAATTTCCACGAAACCGAGACATGACGAAATGCTTCATTTAACTCACTTTTATCTAGTATGCAAATAAATTAGCCAAAAACGAGAAGCAACGCCAACAACGAAATAGACTAATGATTTAAATATTTATGGCGCAAGCACTTCAAAAGCAAAGGATAATGCAAATAAATGCCAAAATGTATGCAAATACACACATAAGTGTATGTGTATGTGTGTGTGGCTCATTTGCATGCAGTGTAGACAGCAACACAAAAAAGCAAGCAAATTGAAAGTTATAAGTAAATACAAATATTTTATTTATGTGTAGGCGCGGAATTTTCTTTTTTTGCTTCCACATTGAAAATTATGACAATTCGCTTCATTAGGCTGATTTCAAGATGAATATTTCGCCATATTTATATCTCTGCCACAGTGTTTGCTATTAGGTTTTGCTCTTCGCCACGCCTGACCAACTTTTTCTGCAAACGTAATGATGTGGAAAATTTGCCAACACTCCCACATACACATATACAGCTACACACACATTTACCACTAGTAGACAAGTCAAGCACACATTCACACAGACGCAAGTTTTGCAGGAAAATCTGTCAGAAAAGGGTCAAAACCGCTTATGAATTGAATTAATAAAAGCAAAAAGGATTCACAGCCACTTATTTATGTGCGTGTATGTGTGTGCATGCCATATGCTTGTATGCGTGTATGTCATGGGATTATAATTTTCTACGCTTGATTTCCTGGGACATATCAACTCAAGTGTTTACAACCAGGCGATGCTTAAATTATTATATGCCCATTCCGAAACCCACGCCTTGCCGCGCTTGTATTGCAACCTTTTCTTACAAACATTTGCTACACTTGCACTGTGTGCTTTTCTTACAAATGTTTTCTTTAAATATGCCTGTCAGTTTGTTTATTTATTTGTTGTAATTTTATTATGCCTTCTGGTAGGTTACAAGGTTTTATTGAGTGTAAATCACCAACATGCAATATGTTTTCATTTGCCACAATCGAGAGACTGTGTTTATGTATTTGAACACATTTCGGGTCAAAGGGGTAACCGAGCGCATATTTTTGCCGGGGAAAGCAAATATTGGTGTCGATTTGTAATTGAGAGTGAAATTTTCGGGTCACTTTGTGTTGGTAAATATATGCATTACAAGTGTTCATAAATGTTATATGAGCATATTGTAGCTTGGCAGCGTTGTAGATGAGGTCGAGCTTGGGGTTTGTGCTCTAATTTCGGACAACCTAAATTTTCAGCAATTAAATTTTGTAATTAAAAGTAGAAATTGGCAGCTAAAGTATGGTCTGTTGATAGTTTAGTTTGTACAGCGGCTATATGCTATAGTGAACCGATATGAACAATTTCTTCCGAGATTGTAGCGTTATCCTAAACAATGATCTATGCCGAAACTCACGCCGATATCGCGTCAAATAAAATAGTTTTCCATACAAAAACTCTTTTTTGATAGGGCAGTATGTATGGCAGCTAGGTGATATAGTAGTTCGATCTAAACTATTTTCTTCGGATAATGCACTCTTGCTATAGAAAATGAACTGTGCCGAATTTCGTGCTGATATCTTTTCAAATAAAAAAGTTTTGCATACAAGGACTTGATTTTAATCTTTCAGTTCGTATGGCAGCTATATGCTATAGTAATTCGATCTAGCCCAATTCTTCGAATATTGTATTGTTGACTTAAGTAATAATCTGTGTCAAATTTCATGAAGATATCTCATCAAATGAAAAAGTTTTCCCACAAGCATTTGATTCCGATTGTTCGGTTTGTATCGCAGATACATGCTTTAGTAATCCGATATCGGTGGTTTCCACAACTTTGCTGTCCTCTGGAGAATAAAGGACGTGCGCAAAATTTCCAATCGATTTCTCCCTTCACACTTTGAATTAGCTGCCACTTATTACTAATTGTTTTGAAAAGTTCGAAATTTTCAACAAAGTAGCGGTGCCATAACACTCAAACCCTTTCCATCAATTACTTTACAATTTCAGACTGCGTCACTCCTCTAATTTATTTCCTGCAAAAAAAGAAAGAAAATACAAAATTTCACAAACCCACCTGCTAATTTATCACTGAAGTGATGAAGAAAGCAAGTCGTAAACCTTTTCATCTCTTATGTAAACAGAAATTTCATTAGACGAATATCAATTTGCTGGCTTTTCAGTCCATTTTACTTAATTTCATTCACACCGAACTTTACGAGCATTTTGCGTGCGCCTCTCGTAATGCTTGAGTGGATTTCGCAGTTGGCTTGAATGCTTTACGCCAATTTGGCAAGCAAATTAAGTCCATCGGCGGTCGCTTGTTCGGCGCGCAGGCTACTTTGCTGCTTGCTCGGTTGGTAGCGGGTGGCTGGTTTGATGGCTAGCGGGCTAGTGGAAACTTTTTAAATCCACTTGCTTGTCGAATTACCGTGCGGTGAAATTAATTAAGCAAAAGGATAATGAAGATGGCAAATGGCAGCAAGTTGTATGGCCTGAAAAATGGGAAAAATCAACAATGGTATTGAGGCAATACGTACGTCTTCCTTCGGCTTTCTTCGTCTGTATGTAGGTAATTTAAAACAAAGACGATTCACAGCGAAATGCTGTTCGGCGCACGCTAATTGATATTGACACTTTATTTGGCAGACGTAGTTTGGTCGGCGTCGGCTTAATTTTCATCAACTTCTTCCGACTTTGCTTGCCATTAGTTTCCTCTTCTTTTCTTTTCTGCAATTGCCTGCGGCGCTGTCGCATTGCATCATTTATTTGCTTAAGGTTCCGTTAATTTTTTTTTTTTTAACCTAAGTTTCGCAACGAAAAGTCGTCAATAGCAATTAGTTTAAGTCGGCCACAAAAGATTTTGGGCGTCCAATTGAATTTAATTGTTTCAATGTTGAGTCGCATTGTATTTAGAAATTTCGTTTGAACAATGGAATGACGACCGAAAGCTTAAAAGGATTGATGAAATTAGTAAAATATACAGAAAAATGTCAATTGTAGAGAGGAAACTTTATACAGAGTTACTTGCGGCACTCATTACTCCTTTTTGCTCTCAAATGAAAGCTGAAAAGGTGAACGACACACGCAAAGCTGATTCTACTAATTCAAGAAAGGATTATTTGTTATACAATATTTAGCTTCCTTTTTAAAAAGAATATCTTTTTCCATCCCTCTTTGTTGTACGTCTTATTTAAGGTTTACTGTATCGTAATACTTTAATTAATTAATCCTATTCTATAGCTACCAGAGCCCTAATTTATTTTTAATAATAACTAAACTATATTATTATATATTATTGATCTCAATAATAAGTAATCATTACATGATCACATGCTTGATCTAATTCCAAGTAATTACGTATCTCATCTAATGTAATTCACACTCATCTCATTTGGCCTAATGAAATTAAGTTAAATGTAATCTTATTCATTTCTTATCCTAGAATTTAATTTCTAATCCTTTAACTAATCTAATTAATTTAATAACATAATATATAGTCTAACTAGAAGTAATCATTACATATTTCGCTTGCATAATCTACCATAATTCCAAATAATCATTACATATTACATCTAATGTTATTTAGTAGTAGTCATACTTAGCTTAATGTAATCAAATTTAATGTAATCTAGTCTTAATTACTATCAGGGCCACGACAATATATTTTCTAACCACTTTGTCCCATCTAATTAATTATTTAGATAATCCAATATATACTCGTAGTCTTGATTTGGTCTAACAGAATCTAATTAAAAGTAATCATTACATATTTCGCGTAAGTAATCTAAATTCAAATCATCCTTACATATATCATCTAATGTAATTTAATAGTAATCCGACTTAGCCTAATGTAATTTAATTGAAAATAAACTCTTATTAATTAATTTCAACTCATCCAATACAATTTTCAAACTGGTGATATTCTACCCTAATACAAGTATATTTCCCTTCGACCTTGTGAAATCTAGTTTAAGTAATCATAATATGTAATCTAATTTTTATCTAAGTAACCTAACAAAAAAAAAAAAAGTAATGTAAATATAATACATATATAAACTAATGATTACATACGTTGAAAATGTCATCATGAGTAATCTAAATGTAATCTTAAAATCGACTATCTCGATTATTTTAACATGCACACTCACATTAATAATCTCCACAAATATATCCTCTATTGCTTTAAATTATAGTTTTGTGTGGCGCTAATCATAATGTGTAATCTAATTTTTATCTAAGTAATCTAACAAAATAAAATGTATTGTAAATTATTTTATCTGAGAAGCAATTAATGGAAATCTAAAAGTGTAATAAAACGTATGTAATCATGAGTAATCTAAATGTAATCTTAATATGCTCTATAGTTTTGAATTGTATTGAAAGTAAAGTAAAGTGGCAAACTGGCATTAATAATCCACATACACTGAACTATGTTTACCCTAAAATAGTTTAAGTAATCATAATGTGTGATCAAATATTAATGGAAGTAATCTGGTAAAAAAAAGTAATGTGAAGTACAATCAAAATTATTATATATAAAAAAAGAATAAAAATCAAATACTATATCACTGCATGTAATCATGAGTAATCGAAATGTAATCTTAATCGTCTCGATTGATCTAAACACTTTCACTCTAGTTCAACGTAATGTAATATAAGTCCTTTCATCTCACACACTCTCTACGGGGTGTCGAATATAATTATTTCACACAAAATCCACACATATATGTAGGTGCGAGTGTGTATGTGTGCGTGAAAATTATATGTCTTTGCTACACCTCGACAAAGTGATCTAATTAAGCATATTACAACAATGGATTTTAATTGCTTGTATAAATGCGGCAATTACACAGCGATTCCACCAAAAACAAATACAGCAATAGAAGGGCAAATAGAAATGGAAATGCATACAGACAGTGTGGATAAAGCTGCTGCATATATTTGAATATATGTGGCTCTGTGTATGTGCGCTTGTGCTTATTTGTGTTTATGGCAATTGTATTTACGCCCACAACTCAATCTGCCACATCAATTGCCGTTGCCACATGTCTGCATAAGTGTTTAGTTGACGATATGCGAAGCTGCTAATATGACTTTGTGCGTATAATATATACCTATTATTTTGAAGTATATATATATATATACATATCCTTATGTTAGATTGAGGCTCAAATGCTGGCATGTTTGTATGTGTGTTGCAACGTAACATTATAGCCTCGAAGCCAACATCATTACTGCAGCCAATACAATACCTTACATGCATTTGACAATGGACTCGATTAATTTTGCATACAACAATGCTTTGTTGCATGCCACATGGCTCGATAAATAGACGGCTGGATGGATGGCTGGATGCGTTGCTTTGCTTTGCTTGAATGCCGCGCTTTAAGGCAATTACGCTGCCGTTCGAGCCAATTGACATACAACTGAATTGCAGTCAACTAAATAACTGACTTATTGAATGACTGACGCGTCGACTGATGCTTTGACGGATTGGCTGAGTGGCTTGCTGTACTCGTGTGCGTTAGCGCTAAAATAATGTTAGAACGTATTTGATGCCATGGACATATTTTGTTGACAAGGCTGAAGAAGAGCAGTTGCAAGAGCGGGAGAGGGGTTAATGGGGGGAAATAGAGAGGGAGAGAAGTGAATTAGAGAATGAGGGAGGACAAGTGCTTCTCAGCTGTCATAATGACCACCTTGAATGGAGCGTAAAGCTTTAAGCGAACCAGATTTCAGACGATGCCCTGGTGGTTCATCGAAATGTTGAGTTGTGGAAATGTGGCAACAGCGGAAACTTCAAGCTTCAACTAAGCCGCTAATCTGTAATTTTGTACAAAAAATCAACTCTTAAAACCCGCTTAAAAAAACAACTTTTTTTGCTGGAAAGTTTAGCTTTTATAGTGTATGGTTTCCAACACTTGAAGAGACTTTCATATATGTGTGCCTAGTTTATTTACTATTTCGTTGTTCTTATAAACCATAAACATCTGTAAACAGTTTTTAACTAAAAAGCATTTTATGCATTCTCTTTCAGCTTCATCTTCATCCTTCTCAAGCTTATACAAGTAAGTGTCTTTTTTCTAATTATAAGTAATGAAATATAAGAAAATTACTTTTACTTGCAACACCTTTGTTTCAAGTACAAGGTTTTTATGCAATACACAAAATGTTATGTTCTTTCCCCAATGTCACTCCAACATAACAAAACAAGGCATTCATCTCAAGTATATACCTCACATTGGGTACACCGCATTTGTGGTGACTGAGGTTGCCGTGCACTTTTAAAAGTATTTTGAAATACCTTGAGCACTTGTTGCACTTATCTTCCTTGTTTTGTTCTATGTTGTCTCCCCTCTCATTTATTTTTTTATATCTTATTCTTACGATAAACTTGTGCGAGTCATAAAAGGATTTCTGCGTAAAACATAAGATAACACCACGCTCGTTGAAAAAATTATTTGGTTAAGAAAGCACATGTCCTTTACGCATTTAAAACTTTTTAATTAGCCGCTGTGGGCTTTTTTTACATTTTTCGTTAGAATGACACATCTTTCTAAGCATAAAAATTATGAGCGAAAAAATTTATTCTTGTGAAATAGTAGCACATGCTTTGGTCTTGATCAATCAAATCTGGTAGTTATTTAACGATAAGTACACTTAATAACGTATACATCAAGATATTATGCCAGATTTACATCTTTAAGCATTTTTTTGCCTGTCTTGATTTTTTTTTTTTGAGATTATGGAAATGTACTGTAATTACTACTTGAAACTGTTCGCTGTATTGAAATGTATGCATTTCAGTAAATCAGACAAGCTCAGGTCATTAAGGACGACACAAACTTCTACAGTGCTTTAAGCTCATAACCTACGTAAGATCTTCATATATCACAATCAAGCAAATCCATTACTCATAAATAATATCTAAAACTGCCCTCTTTTTATCAAATAAAATAATGGTGTACCATTTATAATTACACAAGTTCCTATTCCAAAATCAAGCAAAATTATTACTCATATTTAATATCGAAAACTGTCTGCTTTTTACTAAAAWGAACAATAGTTTAGGCTATGAAAATCGCCAGAAGCTTTTATAGAGCTTTAAGCTCATTCCCTACGTAAGCTTTTAGTATCTCAATATCGAAATTTGTCCGTTTTTTTAAGCAATCACTAGTTTTGGCAATTAAGTGCGGCGCAAGTTTATATAGAGCTTTAAGCTCATGCCCTAAGCAAGCTCTTTGTACCTGAAAACAGCAACAGCATGCTTTTTCAAAATGATGTATAGTGATTGGTAAACGAAATTTCCTCAATTTTAAAAATATGGAGCGAAAGCTTTATGGTTTGAAGTTTTTAAAAATATTTTGAGAGACCTAAGACTCCCATTACCATGATATATAAATATTTGCCCCTCTCAAGATGAGGAAATCCCATTCTTTTGCTAACTTGTGTTTGTTGAGCTTCGAAGCTTTCAAAACCAGTCTGAGATACCTCGGAGTTCCACTACCATCATATAAAAACATTTTACCTTCTCTAGATGAAGAAATGTCAAGCATTTGGTTTGAAAACCAAAGCTGCGAACGCTTTKATTACCGCTAAGCTTTCAGATTACATGTAGTGTTTTTAAACGGTTGTTATCTGCATCCCAGCAGCTACTACACAGCTTTCTTGCCATCTATCCTATTGCATRTTTCAAAAGGACCTCCATTTACAACCCCTTAAATCGAAAACTAAAACACCCGAACAAAGTAATGCTTATATCAGTCTATATGAGCGTATGAGCGCATGGGCGTATGTGGGTAATGCCCAAAATTCCGCATAATCCATTTAGCTTTGCTTTTAGCGCTAAATCTTTTAAACTCAACCCATTCATAAACCACTTCAAATTARCTAAATCACTAAATGGCGCTGTCTTGGGCACCGAAAACAACCTCACATCCACAATCACAAACACAAACGCACGCTTCAATTCATATGCTTGTATGCATATATGCATGAGAGACAAGAGGAACTGACGAGCACTTAAGTGCCAATCAATATTGATTAATAGTGTTGTCATGTCGGGATGTTGCGGTTTTTGCATACATTAAGGCGCTCGGGCACACGCACCCAACTACATATGAGCGCCAAACCGGGCCATGAATATAAGTACAGCAGGTTAAATATGGATAAATGGATAGTGTAGGCCAAAGTATATATGTGTGAGTGCGTGTGTGTAAATTGATAAATACTGAGCAGCAAAATTTCGCTTAATYCGTCGAAAAGCTGATATTTGCGAGTGGATATTACTTTCGGCGGCTGGAGTTGAGCGTTGCGGTTTTATTTCAGGGTCTTCCACCAACAAGAAGTTCAGAGATGAAAAGTTAATTGAAATTGGCCGCAAACTTGAGGGTGCAGATCGACATTGAAACGGACAGTTAGGCAGGCAGACGGACAGACAGACAGACARGCATGCCTTAAGTGCTACACACTTAATTTGTTTTGTGAGTGAAAGTGTTCTAAGGTTGGATGGAGATGTCTCTAGGAAAGGTTATAAATTGTATGTGAGTAATTGATCAGTTTTATGTAGGGAAATCGATATGTTACAGTATGGGTTAAAAACAGAGTGAACTTCGTGGTTTGCTGAAAACAAAACGCCTACATGGTTTGCTTACGCTTTAGAGCAGATATTAAATATCATTGCACACTTTTCGGAGTGCAAAAAGTTAAATTTTAGTTCTATAAATCAAATAGATAGTAGCAATTCCCAAAGCGAGAGAATTTAGTTAACTTCGGCTGCCACGGAGCATTTCTACTTTTCAGAGGTGAATTTCTTATACCTTTTCTTGTTAAGAAAAAAAGTTTTTTATGCAAGAACTTGATGTGTATCGATCAATTTGTACGCTCGTTATATGTTGCGGTGGTCGGATCTATGCAATATCTTCGAAGATTCTAGCCTAGACCAGGAAAATAAGCTATGCCAATCTTCGCGATAGTATGTTAGTCAAATAAAAAAGTTTTCCATACTAAAACCTTCCGATTCTTCAGTTTGTATGGCAGCTTTATGCTAGAGTGCTTCGCTATGACGATTTCGTAAAATAAGCAGCTTCTGGTGGAGAAAATAATGCGCGCGAAATGTCATATCGATAATCCAAAATCTGAGGGACTCGACGCGATAGATATATTTTTATATAGGAATATATTTATTGAGCTCTGCCACCGGGACTTAAGATATATAGTATCCAAATTACAAAATATATTTCACAAACCAAAATTTCAGTCACATCTGAAGTCCTCCTATCCATAATATATATACCGCCTTATAACATTTGGTTCATAAATCTGTTGAGAATTCCAACCCCTATACAACGTATTCAAGAAAATGTTTCGGCGTTAGCAAACAACTTCACAGTGATACCATGAACGTCTTTATATCTTAAGAATGCCAACCTTCCACCCCACGCAAAAGCTACGCGCGCCAATTGTCGCTATTACTAATTTATACCACCCACCACTCAATATCAAGTTCTGCAATCTCGACTGAGTGCCGGCGCTCACTCCGCGGCTACAAAATTAATATGCAAATTCATTTTGTCAAGCAATTAGAAGACGAAAACGACAAAAGTTTCTGATCAACGCTACAATATCCTGTCCTGAAGCTGCGCTCGGCGCTCACGTCCGACCGTCGGCGGCGCCGCCAAGCGTTGCCCCATTGTCATTGTCACAATTATAGTCCGTTACGAAAGTCACAGTTTGGTTTGTTCTTCAAGACAATTGTCAATTGACGCAAGTTCCAAAGAAAATGAGTTTCAACTTGTTGGCGTGCTTGCATTGTTTTTCTTTTCGGACGGCAACTCGGCGTAGCACCAATGCTGACAGTTATTAAAGCAAAGCGTATAGTATAGCGGCGTCAACTTGACGTGATGAGTGCGGTGGTAGGGAAAACGAAGATTTTTGTTTCGCAATCTTTGTGTGCTTAATTTTTCGCGTGTGTGTGTGTGTGTGTGRCTACATTTGTGTAATTGTCTGCGTGGCGTATTCATGGTAAAGTTCAAATTGGCATCACTGTCAATTACGATTATTAGCCTGCGGGTCGTCCGTACACGCACGCGAAACAGAGTCGCTGGCATAGTGCCGTTGCCACCGTGAATAGCTGTGTGTGTTGCCACACCGGTGTATCGTTATGGCGCAGGCAACCGGATGACGGTCGAAAGTAGCAGATTTCAAGTTGGCAAATAAAAGCTAACTTGCTGCGAGGCAACAAAGTCTTTGATATTCTTTACATTCAACTTAACATTGTGTTGATGAACCTTTCTTGTTGTTTTTGTAGAATTTCAGATACTTTTGTTGGTATTTCGATTTGTCTGAAAGTTTGAAGGTTGTCACGTTGATTGAACTTATCCGAAGATGTGGCAAGTTGAAGTCCCAAAATATATTAAAAAGGTATTAGTATAAGTGACATATTGCTGTTGCTATTGTGCACTAGCGGTGGTAGTCTCTGCTGCAGTGAATGTATTTCAAAGAGAATGGGTAACTGCTATTTGGACTTCTTCATGGTCGGGCATTGGAACGTCCATTCCATCGGCATTGATTGGGGAATCGGGTTCATCATCTCCTTGTTCTATGTTTTCAGTGCTATTGAGCAGCCTGAAGAAATGTTCGCTCCATAATATTGCTGTGCCTTAGGCATCAATCGCCGCATATTTTCGTAGAATTTTCAAACATTATCCCTGGGGGCCAGCTTGTCAAGCTCTTGGTACTCACGCATTTCGGGTTCTCGCTTTTTTTTTTATCTGAAAATGCTTCTCGCTTTCCTCTTCAACTCTCGGCATGTATCTCATCGCGSGCGTGTTGTAGTCGATTGTAGTGTTGCGAGGTAGGCAGTCTGTTTTCTGTCCACTGTCACATGGCACTCCTCTCGTATAATCCTTTTCCGAAAACCAATGGCTTCGTTTGCAGATGTTCATAAAGAGCTTGAAATACCGTCCCATAGCTTCCTTATACCGAGTTGCTGATTAATGTCCTCAGAGACCRGGAATGTAAATCGGGTAGAAAATCGTTCAGCCAGGTAGCTTGATGAATTTT